AAAAGATTATATTTCCATAATTTAAAAAATAGTATATCGTATGCGACGCCATATAAGGAAACAAGTAACCTAGAAATGAATTGTTCAAGCATGTGATTGACGTAATATTTTGTCGATTTAACAATTAATCAAATATTTTTAATATAACATTATAATGTTAACGTTTTAGTGTAAATATTAATTACTTTGGTCTTTGAAATTTATACGTTTTCTTTATTGATGTTTTGACTTTTGATATATACGGTTGCATACCAAGTTGTATGATCATTTCGTTGTTGCACGTCATATTTTTTTTTATAGAAAATAACTTAAAAGTATAACAAAGTTTTAAATTTAAAAAAAAAAAAACATTTAACTTTGTTCAGTCGAAAAATGGTAACAAACTCATTATACATATATATAACGGTTAAAGTTATCAATTTATTTTAAGTCATTTTCCAACACAAAATTTGCCAACTCAGTTATAACCCATAATGATAATGTGTTTTTTTAACAAAATAATACTTTAATGGTTTATAAATATTGCAGGTTTTATTTTTGTGCTAAACAAAGCTAAACAATGTCTTTTGTATAATTTTGAAACATAATTTGTTACGATCAAAAGTAAGATCAGTGATCCACATAAACATAAATAACATGTTATCATGTTAATTCTAAAAAATTTAATTTTAACTTTTGTATATAACATGTGGTTAACTTCGTACGTCATATTTTCAAGGAAACTATACATAGTTATCAACACAAAGCAATAATTCGGGCATGACTAATATAGTAAACATCAAATAGGACATGAATAGTAAAATCTACTAAAGTAGTGGTGGTGGACTCGTGGGGCCTAAAAACTATATCCACAAGACTTCAAATTAATTGCTGGATTGATTTCAAACAATCAAAATTGTCGATACAAACAAATTTTTTTTTTCCATTAGGGAATTAAATCCTGACCATAAATTTCAATAATTTGTATTAAATGTGGTAATTCATTAATATTTTAAGTTGTAATATCATAAGCCAATATTTGTAAATTATTCTAAAACAAATTCTATCCTTATAATAACGAAGCTGAGAAGAAAATTTTAAGATGATATGACCAAATATAAGAAACTATGTGTAAGACTCGTGTATTATACAGGTTTATTAAAAATAAAAATTTAATATCAATATATAAACATGAAATATTTTATAAAGTAATAATTTACATAACAGAATGTAATCTTTTGGAACATTTGCAAAAGAAATTAAATCGTTTTGAGGATTTATGAGAATTTATTATCAAATCAATAGGATGATTTTATTTCTTTATAAAACTCATTGCAATTTTATGGAATTTTATTTTAAGAAAATGGAAATCCCTAAAAAATGACAAGTGGAAAATAAAAATTCTAAAACTTTCACAAAATGACAAGTGTCAAAATGAAGGAGAAGATGACATGTGGCAAAAAAAACCTTCATTTATTAGAGAAGATTACAAAAAAGAAATCTCTTCTCTATTCTAATAAAAGAATAGTTTTATTCTCCTTTTGACATGTATCACCCTATTAGGCTTCCTAATCTTTCTATCTAATAAATGAATAAGATTAATCTAATTTTGTCATGTGTCAAGCTAATAAATCAATAATATGCCACGTGTCATTGTTTTGGTTCTCCAATTTGAATTTCATTTTACAACTCATACTCATAAATACTCATAAATTCTTATATGTCAACAATATATGTCAATATTACCCACCGCACCTATCCCCTGATTAAGGGAGATTTACCAAATTTTGTTACACTTATTATGTTTACATTTCAAGAAATTCCATAAATATTAATGTTAGTAGATTTTGAGATTTTTCAACGTCACGAGAGATATATTAGACCCGCATATGTATTAAAATATTCATGCTTTAATATTATTTTTTTTTACGAATTTATAAGTTTTTTATTTACAATTTTTTTTGTCGTATGAAAAAAAAAACTTCATAAGTTCAGAGACTTATTTTCAGAAACATATTTTCCTGCTTATTTACCATGTGTATGCATATCAAATCCCTGAAATTCCTGAAAATTAGCAAAATTTCAAAGAAATTAAAGATATACCAAAATTAACAAACACCATTGACCAAATAAATATACTTTATCATTCAAAAATCTAAAATACGGTTATGATAAGCTAATTTTAATATGTATTGAATACCTTCCATATCAAGCCTTCCATATCACCAATGTTATATAAAGTACGATTTCAATACCTTTACATTTTCTCTCTGCATTCTTTTTCTCCTCCTCGAATTTCATATTACAAGGTACTACAAATCCATGTCTTTCCTCCTCGAATTTCTCTCTGTATGTTGTCGTAGAGGTGAGAATTTGGACCGGTGCATCGGATCGGACCGTTTTTTGGACCCCCCAAGCCAGTTCTCGGTTCTAGGAATCCATCAAAATCGGTCCGATTTTTTCCCGGTCCGGTCCGGTTTTTACCGGGTTTAGAACCGGTTGGACCGATTTAAAAAAAAAATTGTAATCTGTGAAAATTTTAAAACAACCATAACTCATTCGTTTTAAGTTGGATTGACACGCGATTTTTTTTCCAACGTTTAATTTACAGTTTGTAGATGAATTTAGACTATAATTTTGTTGCTTTTGGTATTATATTCAATAATTTACAGTCTTTCATAGTTGAGCTATAAAAGCTGAAAATTTTCAGCTTTTCAGCAACATTTTTAAAATTTTGTAATCTGTGAAAATTTTTAAACAACCATAACTCATTCGTTTTAAGTCGGATTGACACGCGGGTTTTTTCCAACGTTTAATTTACAGTTTGTAGATGAATTTAGACTATAATTTTGTTGATTTTTGTATTATATTCAATGAGTTACAGTCTTTCAAAGTTGAGCTATAAAAGCTGAAAATTTTCAGTTTTTCAGCAACATTTTTCAAATTTTGTAATCTGTGAAGAATTTTAAACAACCATAACTCATTCGTTTTAAGTCGGATTGACACGTGGTTTTTTCCAACGTTTAACTTACAGTTTGTAGATGAATTTAGACTATAATTTTGTTGATTTTGGTATTATATTCAATAAGTTACAGTCTTTCAAAGTTGAGCTATCAAAGCTGAAAAATTTCAGTTTTTTAACTATTATTTTAGACTATAATTTTGAATTTTATGTATCTTTGACAGATAAATCATATGAAAGGGATCTTGGTGAACTTGATTTATATGTTAGTTGCTTTTATTTGGACAATTAATTTTGCAAGTTATAATATTATACATAAAGGTGGATTAGTTATGCATGAAACGAAAACGTAATCATTTTAACAAGTTGTATCGTATCAAACCCAACAACATATTCGTTTTAACGAGTTCTATCAAACCCAAAAACTTATTTTAACGACTTGTACTCTATGCAATTAAAGTTGTACCGGCCCAAACGGGTCCAAGAACCGGAAAACCCGGACCTGGACCCAGACACGGACACTGACACGACTCATCCGGTCCGGTTCATGGTCCACAATATTCTCCATAACTGGTCCAGTCCAAGAGTCGATCCGGTCCGGTTCGGTCCAAATGCTCAACCGTATGTTGTCCTATCTAGAGTTCAAGTAGAGAATGATTAAAATTGTTAATTTTAGATAAGGATGGTAGACTTACAAATAAAACTTGTAATATTATTTATAAAGAAGTTTTTAGAAATTTGTAAATTGTTTGTAAAATATTATTTATCATAACATGTTTTATTATTATTGTTAATAAAACTTTGTTAATTTTTCTTTTATAATTCCTTATTTTTTTAAAATATATGTTTATATTAACAATTTAATTTTCTTAATTTTCTGATTTATATACCAATTTTAATTGTATAACCGTGGTTCCCACGGGTTATAAACTAGTTAATGCATATTTTATTCCCATTTTTCCATGTGTCATCCTATTATCCTCCTAATTAATACATGTCACTTGTCAACATATTGATTCTCCATTTCAAATTTCAAAATTTAAAATTTTCAACCTAATTAAATTAAATTAATAACAATAGAAAAAATTAATACAAATTATAAAATGATATAATTACACATATTTATTTAAATCAATGATTATAACTTTATATAACTAAAAAATCTCTTAATTAATAATATATTTAAAACAATTTATTTAAAATAATTGATTGATAGTTTTAAGTTTTTACTATAAAAGTTTAATAAATTCTGTAACCGTGGTTCCCACGGGTTATAAACTAGTCTACTCTAATAAATGAAGATCTATTTTGCCACATGTCAATCTCTCATAAGTTTTGACACTTGTAATTTTGTGGTATTTTTGAAATAAATAATATCCACATGTCAATTTCTAGGTTTTTTTAATTTTTAAAATTAAAAAGCCACATAATACATATCTACTCTAATAATGAAGATCCATTTTGCCACATGTCAAACTCTCATAAGTTTTGACATTTGTAATTTTGTGGTATTTTTGAAATAAATAATATCCACATGTCAATTTCTAGGTTTTTTTAATTTTTAAAATTAAAAAGCCACATAATACATATCTACTCTAATAAATGAAGATCCATTTTGCCACATGTCAAACTCTCATAAGTTTTGACACTTGTAATTTTGTGGTATTTTTGAAATAAATAATATCCGTATGTCAATTTCTAGATTTTTTTAATTTTTAAAATTAAAAAGCCACATAATACATATAGCTATATAAGTAAGGTATTAAATGTAATAAATATGATCTTAAATTGCAATAAATATGTTTTTTCCTTCCTTATTTTAAAATTAATTTTAAAAAACACTTAATGTTTACATTTTGATATTTAACTTTTTTTAATTAACTCATGTAATACATGGATCTCACACCTAGTATACAATATATAGCTTTCAGCTCATGTATCCCTAAATGATTAAAACCACCGACCTGATATAAAAAATTTAAATATTAAATAACATTACGCAGTTTCAAAAAAATAAATAAATAAAATAACATTACATAGGAATGAAATGCGCATTAACAAATATATACTTCGATCATTTATCGTTTAAGTTGTATTTACAGTTATAATTTCTATTAGTTTTTCATGCATTATATCTTAAAATTTATTTTAGTTACTGAATATACACATCTACTCTAATAAACGAAAATCCATTTTGCCACATGTTTATCTCTCATAAGTTTTAACACTTGTAATTTTGTGGTATTTTTGAAATAAATAATATCCACATGTCAATTTCTAGGTTTTTTTAATTTTTAAAATTAAAAAAGCACATAATACATATAGTTATATAAGTAAAGTATTAAATGTAATAAATATGATCTTAAATTGCAATAAATATGTTTTTTCCTTCCTTATTTTAAAATTTATTTTAAAAAACACTTAATGTTTACATTTTGATATTTAATTTTTTTTAATTAACCCATGTAATACATGAGTCTCACATCTAGTATACAATATATAGCTTTGAGCTCATGTATCCCTAAATGATTAAAACCACCTGATATAAAAAATTTAAATATTAAATAACATTACGCAGTTTCAAAATAAATAAATAAATAAATAAAATAACATTACATAGGAATGAAATGCGCATTAACAAATATATACTTCGATCATTTATCATTTAAGTTGTATTTACAGTTATGATTTCTATTAGTTTTTCATGCATTATATCTTAAAATTTATTTTAGTTACTGAATATACACATACACAGTATAACAAAAGCACGCCACCAGAAGCTTGGTTAGACACACAATTCTTGCCCTACAATAATGAAAATGAGTCTGAAACATCGATGTTTTTTGGTCCTGACTTTCTATCATTGAAGCTCTATCAACATTGCTCCAATGAGGTAATAATGGTCTTCATTCTCAGAATAATAATTATCATTGGATTAATGACAAAACTATATTGTTACTTATAGGATCTTGAATTAGGAAAAATATTGATAAGGCCCGGATCTTTATTTCTAAAAGACCTAGCCGCAGCACAACAATTTACAAAAGAAAAATATGGCTCTGTAAAACAAGCATATGTCATTTGTGATGAAGATAAAGCAATCAAAGAAAAGTTTCAACGTTGGATGATCGAAATCAATCCGGTGGTTGAGGTGAAAAAGTTGAATGGTGTGGATCATATGCCAATGTTATGCGACCCGAAGCAACTTAGTGTTTGCCTCCTCGACATAGCACATAAATATGCATAGTCATGTTATTCATATTTAATGATAATGTATTGTTGATTATGTGTGAAAATGCTAAGTTGAAATTAATTTCGGTATCATTTAATGTTAAGACGTGACTTTTACCGATAAGGAAACACATTTCACCACTCCACAACCTCACATAAATATAAATATATTACATGTTATTAGATTAATCCTGAAAAGAATTAATAATTGCTTTTTGAAACCATCATGAGCTATTAATCAGAATGTGATGTTTTAAAAAAAACTATAAATTGCTAGTGTTATACCCCCTCCCCCTCCCCTCAAAAAAAAGTAATTAAATCGTGTGTGTGT